TTGCTTTGGAGTTATTTCCAGATTTTCCCATAGCTGGTGCCATATTAGCGAGCGTACAAGCGGTATCGGGATGTGGGGTGGTCTGATCATGGAGCGCTCGATTCATCTTCAATGCTTGTTCAAAAAACTCAAGAGCTTTCTCATTGTCACCAGAAATATCCCACAGCTGCCCCAGATTATTGAGAGCACGTGCAATGTCTGGATGGCGTACCTCGTCGTCTCCTGTTTCGTTTCTACCGTGGCTGATTTTCATCATGTTTAAGGCCTGCTGGAAAAGCTGAATAGCTTTTGTGTGTTCTCCAAGCTCTTTGTAAACTGTTGCAAGGTTACTGAGAGATGTAGCAATAGCAGGATGAGCCGCATTTTGTCCGTGGATACCCTTGCAGATTTCCAGTGCCCGCTCGCAGTATTTCAGGGCCTTCTCATGTTCTCCTGTCATACACCATGCTAATCCAAGGTTGCTTAACGGGTCTGGGTCTTTCATTTTATCCAAAAGCCCCAAAGCGTCCATCATCTCCAGTGCTTCTTTAAAAAGACTGATTGCTTTGGAGTTATCTCCAGATTTTTCCAAAGCTCGTGCCATATTAGCGAGTGTACAGGCGGTTTCAGGATGTGGGGTGTTCTGGCCATGGAGCTCCCGATTCATCTTCAATGCCTGTTCAAAGAATACAAGAGCTCTTTCATTGTCACCGGAGATATCACAAAGTTGCCCCAGGTTGTTAAGAGCGCGCGCAATGTCGGGATGGCGTACCTCGTCGTCTTCCTCATGTGTCTCGTTTCTACCGTGGCTGATTTTCATCATGTTTAAGGCCTGCTGGAAAAGCTGAATAGCTTTTGTGTGTTCTCCAAGCTCTTTGTAAACTGTTGCAAGGTTACTGAGAGATGTAGCAATAGCAGGATGAGCCGCATTTTGCCCGTGGCTACCCTTGCAGATTTCCAATGCCCGCTCGCAGTATTTCAGGGCCTTCTCATGTTCTCCTGTCAAACAGCATGCTAATCCAAGGTTGCCTAGCGCCAAGGCAAGGTCTGGGCTTTTCATTTTATCCAAAAGCCCCAAGGCGTCCGTCATCTCCAGTGCTTCTCCTGAAAGACGGATTGCTTTGGGGATATCTCCAGATTTTCCCATAGCTCGTGCCATATTAGCGAGTGTACAGGCGGTTTCAGGATGTGGGGTGTTCTGGCCATGGAGCTCCCGATTCATCTTCAATGCTTGTTCAAAAAACTCAAGAGCTTTCTCATTGTCACCAGAAATATCCCACAGCTGCCCCAGATTATTGAGAGCACGTGCAATGTCTGGATGGCGTACCTCGTCGTCTCCTGTTTCGTTTCTGCCGTGGATGATTTTCATCATGTTTAAGGCCTGCTGGAGGAGCTGAATAGCTTGTTTGTGCTCTCCAACCTCTTTGTAAACCATTGCGAGGTTACAGAGCGACTCAGCAATAGAAGGGTGAGTCGCATCCTGCCCGTGTATGGCCTTGTTGATTTCCAGCGCCCGCTCGTAGTACTGGAGGGACTTTCTCGTGTTCTCCTGTCATACGCCACGCTAATCCAACGTTGCTTAACGGGTCTGGGTCTTTCAT